CCCTCAGGTTGCTTTTTATCACTGACATGGTCTTTTATTACTGCATCGTCCCGGTCTTGTTCCCTTACTGGGTTTAAAGCAGCCAGAGAACAGACCTCACCACTCAGGGGAAATGGCTTGGAGAGAGTTAAACCCGGTTCCCCAGCTCTGTGGCCCCAGCCCATATCATCCTTTGCACAGCTGCTTTTTGCAGAGGTCTGGTGACCAGAACACAGTTTGCTAAGCTCATAGTTGTTTGGCCTTCAGTTTCAGTCTGCAGTGCCAGGCATACCCACTGGGAAATAAGCCCACAGAACTCATCTGGACTTGTTTCAAAGTAAACATGCATAAGATCAGGGCAGTTTGGAGACCAGAGTGACACCTCTACTGTTGAACATCAAATCAGTTTCCTATCGATTTGAACAAGCTGTTGTTTTCTGAGTCGGGTTACCCAGAGATAGATATTAAGGAATCAGAGCAGCCATTCATCACCTTCCTGAGCAATGAGGCATAATAAACATGCAGGTTTTCTAATATGATTTTTAGTGCCAGAACAAGATGGAGTGTGTAAACCATATTTTGCATGGCCATTTGTATAACATGGAAAAAAATGTCTACTGAAAAATAAAATAAATTGTATTTCATCCTCTTTCTCTTAAGAAGCAGGACTCTCCAACCATAGATAAAGTGATTTCTTTATAAATAACAAATTAATCTGTAAAATAATTCATGCACAGGAAGGGCCAAGAAGAATTATGAAAATTTCTGTTTAAAAGGAAACACATGCTTATCTGTGCTTTTTGTATCAGGAGCTTCTTGCGATCTCCTATGTTTATCTTGTTCAACTCAAAAGAAAGCCATTTGCACTCAGAAGTCGCCCCAGCAATTTCAGTGACATTTACTTCCAAGTAAAGCTGTACTGGCATGTTTGCTGATTTGGGGAATAAGTTCCATAGATTTCATGGAGACTTATGTTTGAAATCAGGCTGCTTGTGTGCAAGCTTACAGTACACTGAGTGCAATGGAACGTACTCACAAGTTAAGCATGCAGGCAGGAGAGCAGGTTCCCGTTGCACCCAAACTGTCGGTGAAATTAATGCGATTTGAAAATAAACCTTTCAGAAGTTCCTTGCTGCTTTCCCACACGGTTCAAGGTTAATTATGTTTATCACAGAGGCAATCAACAGCAGAGGTGGCAGCAGACAGACCACGTGTGTGTGTGTGTGTGTGTGTGTGTGTGTGTGTGTGTGTGTGTGTGCCAACTGTTTCCCATTTATCAAAGTTGCACTTATTGATGAAGTTGCAGGAAAGGAACAATTTTAGGATGGATCATTGATCCTAGGACAAATTAAAATGTATTGCAGCGTGTCTGAAAATGCTAAGAGAATATAAAAATCAGATGAAGCGTGAACGAGCTTGTTCCTTGGGGGATGCGTCTCACAGATAGCCAATGCTAGCCATAAAATGTATCAGAAACACATGGCAACAGTCACATTTAATTGGATTGAAAAGCAATTCATTTACTTTAGCTTACAAGCCTCATCTTTGTCAGGCTACCTAAGATCTGGATTTTATATTCCTTTGGGATTTCTATAGCTCCAAGAGGAGAGCAAGAACCCGAGGTCTGGGTTTGTTCAGGGTTTGTTTAAGAAGCAGTTTTAGTCAGCAACATAGCAGACAGTGTGTGTGTGTGTGTGTGTGTATGTATTCCCTTTGATCCAGCCATCTAGAACACTCACCTCTCGACGGACTCATCGTTGTGATCTTCTGTGATCATCTGCGGGTCCTGTGTGTGTTTGTGCGACTGGTCTTTCTCACAGTTCTCCTCGGGGCCAGCTTCTGGTGTGTCCTCAGTTGCCTGCAGATGTTCGATGAGGCTTTGTCCGTGCCAGGTTTGAATCGGTCGGTGGTGTATCGGGGTCGGGCTGGGCACCGGTGCCAAGATGTTGTGATGGATTGGGCTGTTGTTTTTCTTCAGCCCATTTCTGTCCCGCGAGTGGCTCTTCAGCCTGTTCTGAACCGGCGTGCCTCTATGCTCATATCCTTCCTGCTGTAGGCAACCTCCGGTGCCTGTGGAACTCTGTGAAGGGTGACTGAACCACCTCCAGCGAAGCCTCAAGATCTGTTTCACATCAAATTCCTTCTTTCCAGACACGGACATCGTTGCAGGTCAGGGGAAAGAGGGAGAGAGAAACACACAAGCAAACACAAAATCTCCTTGTTGCAGGAAGGAAATGGAGTCTGTTTCTCTCCTCTGTTTCAGTGTCTTCTCTTAATCCAAAAAAAAAAGGAGAAAAGACTCTCACACAAGCCGGTATTCCTTCTTTCCTCTCTCTGTTTGTTTCCTGTGTGCCGTGAACACTTCTGCAGAGCACTGCCTAACTGTATAGGTGGGAATCCATTCTGACAGAATGATGAGGTCAGATCTTAAACAAGTAAATCAGCTTAGTGCAGGCGAGCATCTGCTGTTACACTCCCCAGCTGCTTACATGCACACACACAGAGCACTGCTGCGCCGCTCTTGAATATATAACTGAGCCTCCTATCATCCTCAGGGATCTTACCGGTGCAACTTCAGCCGCATATTAAAAAAATTCCAGTCCATACTTTGTTCCACACCTCCCCAGGAGAATTGGAGCAAACTTGGCTGAGAAGCAATGCAGCTTATGCTCCCCCTGCAATCCAGGGCACACTTGTGCAGGAGTGAACCGCACTGAATTCAATGGGTCAGCTTCTGGGGCCAATATCCAAAGGATCGGTCTGCCTGGCTGCAACCTTAGGCCTTCTTTCTTTGTGGAAAGTGCTATTGTGATCTATGAGGCTTACTTTTAAGTAAACCTATTTAGGGTTGGATTGCAAGACTGATAGATCCGAGATTATTATTTTTTATGCATTATTCTCTAAGGTATGATTCTCTGGCTGTTCAGTTTCCTCTCAAGGATCTTTTGCATATTCCGGTAACCTCCTCATCAAATGTGAACTAACTGGAAATGGCGGTCTTCCAGCCTCATATAATTTTACACTAAATGAAAGAGACAGCATATAAAATTCACAATACGGCCTTATGTGAAGCTTTCTCTCTCTCTTCAGCACCTGCCCCTTCATTTCTAGGAGCAGATTTTTGCAGAATTCACCTCCGCTGGATGGTGGGAGGCAGGAGATTCTTGAAACCATCCGATGAGATGACTCCTGAAGGGGCATATCTATGGAAAACACAGAGTTTCCTGCCGAAGCTCCTGCGTAAATATTCTCATGCCATCCACCCCTTTCTGTTTCTCTCGCACATCACTTAAAGAGTCAGCACAAAGATATTGTCTGTATCCAGGAAATGGACTGGCAAAATCAGCAAGTCGATTACAAGTCCCAACTAGGTAAACATGCTTAGAAAGAGTGGTTGTGTTTTTCAGGGGCCCCTGAGAGGGTGCCATTTACCTCAAATGCATTGCCTTACTTGCAGGAATTCAGTCATTGTAGGCTGGGTCCCCCAGAATCAAAAATGGAGGGCAGATTTTTGCCCTCACTGACCTCCAGTGCAGTGCTTTACTTTTCCCTCACGAAAGGGACCGATCATCATTTGCCCACATGAAAGAACGTAGAGGGTGTATTTGGAAATGTAATTTGGATGGGGAATTAACCCCAGCTATTGAGAATAAGGTCTGTAACTCCTCCATCAGCTGGCTTTTAGTGAGAAGGGCTGTGATGGCTCCAAGTTCTAGAGGGTTCCATGAACAAAGTGCCCAAGTGGGCCACCCTCCCTCAGAGGGCCCACCTCCTTGCTCTCTCCTTCTGGGCGTGATCGCCACGGTCACCCAGATGGAGAGAGCAAAGTGAACATTGGTGGCTTCTCCATGTCCTCTCTCTTATCCCTGTTCACTCACAAAGACAATCATTAAGCAAGCATTATCTACAAAGAGGAAAAGCAGCAGCTTCAGGGGTTATCAATGGAAACTTGTTGGGCTGGGGGCCTAGGCAGATGCCTTACAGTGCCAATTTCTGATGCCAGCCCTGGAGAGAAGGAGGCTTATACTGTGCCATCGAGCCTGCTCCAGTTCATTGTATTTGGTAGACTGCCTTCATGAAACCCTGAGCCAGGGTTGAGATCTCTGATTTAAACAATCACATCCTCCTGTGTGAATCTGCCCATCGGTCAAGGTCCACTATGGAGATCCTGTTGTTTGCTCCTCCATCGTCTGAGGTATTGTGACCCAGCACTGGCCCAGTCTTTTTTTCTGTAGCATGTCAGCTGTGGAAATCTGTCACTTCATAGGTACACCCAGTGAAAACTTTTTCTTTTTCCTGGGCTTTTGTTATTTTTTCATCAGTTCACAGAATTTAACAGGAAATAGTCAGTTGCTCTTCCTGTCCTTAACTAGATTTTCTTGCCCGCCCTCCCCATCTATACTGCTTGTATATATTGGGTTGGATCCAGCTAGGGTTTTTTCTGGATCTCAGAAAGTTCCTTTTCTTAGTACAGCCCCTGTTCCTTATGGCTTTCATTCATAACAGGTCCCATGATCCCCAGGATAGCCTTTTTGGTGGTTAAACAGGGCCCACTCCTACCTTTTTATTCACTGGGAAAGCTAGCTGGATCCAACCCATTATCTTTTATTGTTAATGAATTGGTTTCTGTTCCTGCTGTTTTGATTTGTGTGTTTTTTCCCAAGTTTTTGAATTAATTTTTAAAATGCTGGTATTACTTTTAAATGGCTGTTTTGCTTTTTTAATTCAGGTATCAAATCCACCTTGACAGGGTGTGTCCTACCACATAGGCAATCTAGGTAGTCACCCAGGGTGCCGGATTTTGAGAGACACCCAAAAGTTTCATGCTGAGCTCTTCCTCTGGTTTCCGCAGCTGCCCTCATCCTCTTGCTGCCAAGAGGCCACCTTTGGCGCCTGCAGGTGAGTGCCCAATGGGACCAGCTGAGATGTGGGTAAGGGAGGGAAACAGGAGACACTGCCACTGTGCCTGCTCACTAACAGAGCCAGCCTAGTTAAGAGGAGCCTCCACACATGGCCGCTCTCACCCCTTTGTCTCCAGCACCTGCCGCCAGTGAGCTGCACACCCAGCGGGGCTGGCAGAAGAACAAAAAACATTGGGGAGCCGTCTCTACATAAGCCAAGACTGGGGGGGGGGTCGTCACCTTCCTTCTCTTTCTCCCTCCCTGGGTCTCCAGTGCTGGTGGCTTCTGGAAGGTGGGGGTTGGAGTCAAAATTCTTACCTCACTGATGAATTTGCGGCATAGCCCTCCAATTGAATCATTTGACCAATGAACACCATATATAGATTTTTGTATATGCTGGAAATGTTCTAGTGTAGGAAGGCCATCAACTGCTTATTGTACTTATTTCTGATTTTTTTAAAATATATCAGAGTTCAATAAAACAACACTCAAACACCACATACAAACAGGAACTGGTTATGGTCAGCTTGGAGTACATCCTGCTTGATAAGCCAAGGTGAGACACACTCCTGAGGGTTACTTCCAGTTGGAAGGGATTCTTCACTCATGCCCAGAGTTACATTCCCACTGTGCCTTCTGGATCTGCCTCATTTTGCAAGCTGCTGTCACCTCCCTTCCAGCATGCTCTGCTTATTAGGCTTCTCACTCATGCCATCCCACTCCAAAAAGGTCTCCACCTCAAGATCACAGCTCTCTGATCTGGGGGATGGATGGCATCTTTACAGGAGTGATGCCTCAATTTGGTGTAGTGGTTAAAAGTGAGGACTCTAATCTGGGACATCCGGGTTTGATTCCCCACTCCTCCACATGCAGCTGCCGGTGTGACCTTGGGTCAATCACAAGTTCTCTCAGAGCTCTTCTCTCCGAGTTCTCTCAGCCCCACCTACCTTACAGGGTGTCTGTTGTGGGGAGGGGTGGGGAAAGGAGATTGTAAAATGCTCTGAGATTCTGAGTGAAGTGTGGAATATAAATCCAATCTCTTCTCTCTCTTCTTCGTCTTCTCGTTCTTTCCCCTCCACACCCATCACTACTCAACAGAGGCTGAGGGTGCCCACTAGGGCTCTTTTCACCTGGTGTTAATGCTGGTTACTGTCCATCTGATTTCTGCTCTGGGTGGGTGATTTGAGGCCCAAAAGCTAAACACTAAAGTTCCTAGAGCAGGCTGGGGGCAGGTGAACCCCGCTGGCCCTCCCCAGGGTAAGAAAGGTTGAGGAAATGATCCCACCTGCTTGAGTTCTCTTTGTGAAAGAAGTAGCCTGGTCAAGCTTACCTGGAAAGCACCTTTGTCTCCAATGAATGGAGCAGGACTTGGATGAGTTGTGGATTCTTCAAGGTTCAGAGCCTAACCAGACATTACAAACTTTTTGTGTTCACCAAGGGGGATTGCAGCTATACTGCAGCTGCTAGTTCATGAAGGTTACTCATGAGTAAATGTGTATCAGGGCCCAGATCAGAATTACTTCTCAGCTTCCCCTGTGTTGTTTTCAGCAGCTGAAACAGCCCTGGGCTTTGGGAGTAGGGTTATCTGTGTCATTGGAAGTCAGTGTGCGTGCTGAATGCTTATATGCAGGCTCCCCAGAAAGAAAATAACACTCACACTTTCACACACACACAGAGCCACTGGGCCATTTCAGCTACTAAAACAGCACAGGAGAAAAGGCAGGAGTTCCTCTCTTTATTTTATTTATTTATTTTATTTTATTCAATTTATACCCCTCCCACCCCACCAAGGCAGTCTCAGGGCGGCTTACACAATACATAAAAATATACTTAAAATCCATCATAAAGCTCATTATAACTAATCAAACCAAAAACAGATTGGTTATCCTAAAATGCATAAATCACTATCCTAAAGTGCTGGTACAGTTGTCAAATAAAGTGCATGAGCAGAAATTTCAGATTAAACCATAGTCCACGGGTGACAGTCTCACATGCTCCATTGGTCTACATTTACCTAGCGAGTTGGGCTAGAGATGGTAAAGCCAGGGCACAGGGTCTCTTCTCAGATGTCACACGCGGCTCCTCGTTGAAAGCCTGGTGGAAGAGCTCTGTCTTGCAGACCCTGCAGAACTGTAAAAGGTCCTGCAGGGGCTTGATCTCTTTCAGGAGCTCATTCCACCGGTGCGGAGCCACTACTGAGAAGGCCCTGGCCCTGGTTGTCACCAATCTGGCGTCTTTGGGACCTGGGAGGGCTAGCCGGTTTTGGGCCCCTGAACGCAGTGCTCTCTGGGGAACATATGGGGAAAGGCGG